GGTTCTGACGAACCAGTAGCAGAAAATTTGAGCAGTTCGAAGAACCACAGCAAATACCACCTCTGACTGGCTCCAGAGTGGGGTGGGGATGGAGATTATGCAATAGCCTTCCCCCAGGAGTGGAGAGGGAATGGGATTTTGCAGTATCCTTTCTCTGGAATGGAGAGGGAATGGGATTTTGCAGTATCTTTCCCCTGGAGCAGAAAGGGAATGGGATTTTGCAGTATCCTTCTGCTGAAGTTTTGAGGGAATGGGATTTTGCTGTATCCTTCCCTTGGAGTGGGGTGGGAATGGAGATTTTGCAGTATCCTTCCCCTGCCATTGTATTTATTGTATTTTGTATTTTATTGGTCTTGTATGCCACCCACTCCCGAAGGACTCTGGGCGGCTTACAATAAAAGGGGAAGGGGATAAATAGACAAATAGACAAAACAAAAATTTAAAATACACATGCCCACCAAGCCACTCCCACAGAGCTGGTAGTAAAAAAAATTAATTTCACCCCTGCCCGAGTGCCATGTGCTTTATTTGTTATGTTATTTATTGTATGGTAAACTATTTAAAGTCACAAAGGAGCTATACAAATACATTTTATTGTTATGGTTGGTTGCACAGTCATCCAGATGTTTAGACTGGATCTGATATTTTTGCCCACCTGTTTCACAAGGACCTGGGAAAGGCTGGTGCTGTTGTCTGTTGATGTTAAAAGTGTTGCCTCAGGATGTAAGCTGTTCCAAGTAAAGCTGCCTTTTGCAATTGACTGGGGGTTATTTAGTTCTACTTCCATTTGCAGGTCTTTGTATTTTGTGATTTTTCTCCATTTCTTTCTGTTCTCTTCTGCTGACTCCAGGTACTGATTCTATCTTTGCTTTCTTTTGCCACAGTCATTATTATTATTAGACTACAGAATAGAAGATAATGGTAGAAGGACTGTGGCAAAAGTAAGCAAAGACAGTATCAATGCAACCCATTGTAGGCTCCTTGAGTGTGATCTTAAAAGATATGGAGCATCACTTGAACACCATCAACATTGACAAAAATCACTATTGGACAATTGCAAAAGCAGCCCTACTCAGAACAGCTGATGTCCTGCAATACCTTTAACACTGTCGAACAACAACATTTGCCCATCCCAGGTTCTTGGTAAGGACTCAGTACATGGATAATTATTATTATTATGGTAGTTTGTGTGCCTGCACTTTGACCCACACTGACTTACGAGTCCCTTTCAATGAAATCAAATGGCTATAATGACAGGTTTTACACTCATGACTAAGATATAAACTTTTAACACAGTGTATTTGATAGCAGAGTTGAAACTGCAGGAGGAAATAGCTGCTTTGAATCAAACAAAGATACATTTCCAAGTGTGTCTTTTCTTGGGCAGAAAACTCTCCTGGTTAAATCAAGCTGTGTTGTTTCTTAGTTAAATAAAAGATTTTATTCCCAGTTGGCTTTCTAAAAATGTCCTCTAATTCTATTTTTTATGACTTTTCCGCTTTATTTCTTATAGGTACTTAAGTTGGGACATGCCTCAAGAGGTCATGGCAATAAAGTCAACTCAAGTAAAACGCTCAGCAGCTGCACGACAGGTATGTTGACATGGAAGTGTTTATGATTGCTCTCTAAAAAAAACTTGCCATTACATTTTAAAGAAACAGGTGTGTTGCTTTCTTTTGCCACAGTCATTATTATTATTAGGCAACAGAATAGATTCTTCATACTTTCTTGGTAACTGCATCTTTAAAGTACATAGTCCCCTTACGAATCTCTTTTGAGGTTAGCATACAAGTTACTGCTCCGTTGTGTTGCAGGTTTCTAACGATACAGTTGAGACCTTGCAAGCATGAGCCACACCTTAATCTAGCCTTCCCCAATTTTAATACCTGGACTTTTTAGGGATACCATAAGTGGAGACTTAGTGGGAAGGTAAATTTGTCATTTTGAAAGATGGAAAGCAGATAAGTGCACGTTTTATAAGTATTCTATAAAAATACGTAGGAAATGTAACAATGGCAATAGCACTTAGACTTATATACCATTTTACAGTGCTTTTGCAGCCCTCTCTAAGAGGTTTACAGAGTCAGCCTCTTCCCCCCAACAATCTGGGTCCTCATTTTACCCACCTCAGAAGGATGGAAGGCTGAGTCCACCTTGAGCCTAGTGAGATTTGAATTGCCAAATTGCAGGCAGCCGGCAGGCAGCAGAAGTAGCGTGCAGTACTGCATTCAAACCACTGCACCACCACCGCTCTTATGTACATATGTGGATATCAGTTTTAC